TTATATTTGATGGGCCACATCTAAAATAACGACGACCTTACCACCACGTACCTTGAAAGTGGGTATTTCTTTTGTACATTGATTTAAGGAACAATTAAGAGGCAACCGTTTTTTTCTTCTTAAATTATCGAATGCCGAAATTAGTCGAAAATAAGCTTTTTTTGCATAAGTGAAAAGAAAGTAGTCTCTTGTTGAACAGGGGCCTGCTTGTCTATTCAGGATGCCATTGGCATCTTTCACCTGTGACTACGACGGCCCTCAGGAGTGCCACACTGATCGGAATGATGGAATCTCTTAACCGCCAAACGTGCAGCTAGGGAAAAATAGCCATGATTGAGAGTAGATCGCATCGACCTCCCAATTCACCCTTATTTCCCTTTACCAATGTATCAAGATCCTATGCCCTAAAACAGTAACAAGTGAGATACATTATGAAACACTTTGCGGTATTTTTTATTGGCATCTAAATGCGATATCAATATGTCACAGCTTTTATACCGCCGTGCTAGAATTTGTATTGAGGGTTAACAAACCCTGAGTTATGAGAAACACGGTTTCCGGCTTATAAAATAGGGGATGGATTTATTCGCCGCTCTTACGAAAACTTGTAATTAAACTTTGTCAATTCTTATGAAAATTTACCGTACACCGAGGACGGAAATATCGATCGCTTGTATACTTAAGAACGCCTATTTTGACCTAGTGAGTTGCACCTTCTTTTCCAATTATGTGAACCCTCCATGTTATTAGATTTGCTTTTTAGCAGCAACGATTTCTCTCCCACTTTTACCCCATGTACGCAACATAAATTAAAATAAGCGTAATAGAATGAAATTTGTGATTAACGACAAAAACACGTTCCCCTAAATCGAAAGGGAAAATAGCTAATTTAAAAGGTGAAAATGTGTAATACCTTATTCTTGAGCTTATTTTGCGCATAATGCAAATTTTGATTCTCAAGCCGTAATGCATAGATATCCAAAATGTTATAACTGGGTCTCACGATCCCCAAAATTAAAATGTTTTAATACCGTAGTTCTGTGGAAATTGTTGCCACATGACAAACCTAGGCTCATTTATTATGTTTGCGAAAAAATAAGTGCAACGAAAATCATTTTGATTCTGCTGTAGATGGCAATGAAATACCATATATGTCAGCAAAGAGTGCACCTAAAGTTAGTAACTTATTGTAAATATTCCCATTTTGTGGCAATTTTTTGCTGTAGATATAATAAACCTGTTGCGTATAGACTTTTCTCTGGAGGCACATCATCACCAAAATGGAAATCTTGCAATGCACTAATTTTTACTATTGATCTCAACTGGTCGGGGCGAGACACCGAAAATGTTATATTTATTTTTATTATTTTTTCTCACAAACGTTATACTGGCGCTGAGAGCAGACGCAGCGTGTTCCGGTGGTAAGAGTAACGATGGTTTATCAATTTGCAAGTGATACAATTATTGATATTGTAAACAAACAATAGGATCGTTTTTCAGGGCTGCTAGAATTTTGTTAATGTCTTGAAATGAGACGACACTATAAAGACCTCAGCCTCACGATATTCAAACAAGACACTTCTTTGACACTGAAAAGTGGCTATTTATCAAAACGGGGGTAAGCTAAACACGAATAGACGCGAAACGCTTGGTTGGATATTCTCTTAAAGGGAAAATCTACCCTTATTGAAAAAAAGGAAATTTTTAAGCGGCAAACGCATTGGTGAAGTTGGTGTTTCGGGTCGTTGAAAATTCAAATTGGTTTTATAAAAATATATGGCGACAAGACTATATATAACTTATTTAATATGTCAGTTGGAAAATTTAATTCGCATCCAAGAGGCAGTTCCTGGTCGTAACTATTCAGACAGGATGACTTCGCAACTCTTTTAAATTATGTCATTTTCTGAACGCCTTTCTAAAAAATGACAATTTAAGATGTGATTCAGCTATTGTTTCTTTATCACGTTTATAAAACGTTAAGTCACTCCGGATACACCGACGTGAATAAATAATTATGACCTATAATTTACATTTTGAGTTTTTTTATACAAACAGGCGTAACATTAGCAAGGAGATTCTTATTATCATGTATTATTAGTAAGCGTTGCATATTACAGAGTTCATCAAAGCTTAATGCAACTTCTCCTCCTGTTTATGCTTGAAAATCGTGACTTACCTTCGGTCGTGACGTAAACCGTTGATTTTTCGAAAAAAGAATGCATATTGGTATTGCGTGTAAGAAATAGGCCTTCTCCAAATTCGCCACGTTACAATTCTGTAAGACAGACAGAGATACGAAATCGAACAGAAAGGAGAACTATCAAAGCTGAAGACTTTGATTGCAGGCACTTGCAGCTTCCGACATACAGACTCACCGTCTATTACATTTCGCAATTATAGTACCTACACTTCGTTAAAAATAGACTGATTTTATTGACATTGACGGGGGAAATATCCTTTATTCTCTTTATACGCACTAATTATATGGCTTATTGTAATTTCGGTTGGCTTTTATTTATATTTTTTATGTAATCTATCTATCTGAAGTCATACATTTTGTGTCCTTCACTTCAGCCTCCTAAAAAATTTCATTTGGACATCGGGCAGTGTGTTAATTGCTTTAAACCTTACTCTGTAAATTTACGTTTAGTTTAAATCGCTTTGGTTATGTATAAATGAGATTTACTGTTAGTAACTGTCGGGAATTCGTTTCTTTTTCGTCATTTTGTGATTTCTCTATCATTCGTTTGGTAGCATTTCTATGATCCTACTGATTAAGGCAAACTTGGGTAAGTGTGGCCGATATTTCAATTAGTTCAATTTTGGGCCTTGATTTCTCATATTTGTTATAACTTTAAAATGTCGGTATTTTTTCTGGATTAGTTTACAACGTACGAACGTTACGGTCCATTTAGTAAGTATGAGAGGTTTGTTAGAAGAAAGGTTTTGATTTGGTGTAGGTATACGGTGTTATGAAGTTTATTATTATTGTTAGGGGAGAGGTGATTTGTAAGGATTTTGAGCATATATGATTGTCACCTGAAATTTTCACTGTCGTCATCATATACTGTTAATTATAAATTAAAAGAAAAGTATAGGTAACAAATATTTGTCTGCATCCAGCTGGGTGGATAGTTCCCGGGGAGCATTTTTCTTTTTCTAGCAATCAAGAGATCCGCACATTCTTTCCCTTAAATATTATAAGAGGAGGAGCAGAAACGGCCGATAACATTGTGGTGCTTGGTTTACGTGGCCCAAAAGTAGTTCGCGAACTTGCTTTTCCTTTTACTTCATCGGCTTTTATTTTATGAGAATCGTGTGACAAGGGCGATTCATCAAGGTTCCTGTGGTGGAGATTTAAATCAGTCAAGAGTTTTGTCCAATATATACATAACCATTGATAATAAAAGGATCTGCCATTTTTTCTTGAAAACTTAACAGCTTGAGGCTTAGATTGTGCCTTTTTTTAAAATTCAAGAACTACTCGTTTCCGGAAATATTATTTTTAAACGGCGTTTTTATTTTATTTTAACAGCAACAATAGAAATAGAAAAATACCCTACTGTTCCAATGTTTTAAGGCCATGAGCTAATCGTTTTTGATCTTCATAAGGAATGGCTGGTGTAACATGTGTTAGAAATCTTATATTGTTTTTGTGTCCCGTAAGTAGATCTCTCTCTCTCTAAAAATGCTTTTCGTATTTTGCCATTTCCCATTTACAAGTTCACGCTCCGGAAAACACAGAGAGGGATAATAAAATAAAATAAAAATAAAACATCTCCGGAAGATTCACCCACAAAGATATTCGTCGTCAGAATATTTGCCTGCCTCTTACTAGGAACTCAAAGGAAAATGAACCACAGGAAAACCAAAGGATTGAAACAGTGAAATTTCACCTCCCTGCCATACTTTACCGTTAAGAATATTCGCCCCCGATAAATTCCATCCAAAGAGATAACGCTCTTTTGGTAGGTATAATTGCTTAAAACGGTTAATTCCGCTGTTGAATTTAGTCAGGTTTTAGGGTTACACATCGTTTAATATCCATGGTGACGATTATCGCAACAATTTGCAGTTCTCGTAATTCGTAATTGAGTCTATAAGTGCATATGGGAAACGGCAACTTTTGTATTTGATACGATATTCGGTAAATTCTTCATGGAATACTCGCTCTGGTAATTAGTGCTGGTGGTAACGAAAGCTGCCCCAGAATATCCGCCAGCTAAAGGATCGCTTGGGTATTTTCATCCCCAGTAAAATCGAGTTGTGCAAAACTCACCCCCATGCATCCGCTCACGAAAATTTGCTTTCGGGATACTTTTCTCTAAAGAAATTTGACCCAAATATATGACAGTGATAGTGACATCCAATTTTGGTGAGAGTGAATCTTTCGGTGGCGAATCTTCCTGGGGGCGATTATTCCGGATGAAAATGCACCGGGGCGAATTTACCGCACACTGGTTTTCGCACTGTTTACCTTTCTTCTTCTATTTTTTGCTTCGACGATCATTGACTTGATTATTGAGCGAAAACGCATGCGCTGATGACGGAGCGACCTAGATGCAATTAAAGTGGACGTGTGCAAAAAAAATGCGCACGGCCCACTTGATGGAGTCACGTTAATTGATACAATTAGGATGGCCGTGTGCAAAAAATTGCACACGGTGCACCTGATGTTATCACGTTAAAATATTGAGGCAATTAGGGCGGACGTGTGCAAACAATTGCACACGATGCACTTGATGGAGTCACGTTAAAATCTAGATGTAATTAAGGTAGACGTGCGCAAAAAATTGCACACGGCACACTTGATGGAGTCATGTTTACATCTAGATGCAATTAAGCTGGACGTGCGCAAAAAATTGCACACGGCACACTTGATGGAGTCATGTTTAAATCTAGATGCAATTAAGATGGACGTGTGCACAAAATTGCACACGGTGCACTTGATGGAGTAACGTTCATATCTAGATGTAATTAAGGTGGACGTGTGCAAGTGCACTTGGTGAAGTCACCTTAGAATCGCAAGGGTGGACGTGTGCAAAAAATTGCACACGGTGCAAAATCTAAATACAAATAAAAAGGACGTGTACAAATTGCATTTATTTATGAATGCTTGAGGTGAAGTCAAGATGTGTTTCGAGTACGGGCGCGTTTTAATGTTTCTTTAATAATCAAATAAAAATCAAATTAAGTGTTGGACCGCTAGTGAAGTTTATGTTCCCCTGAAATTCCTTGTGTGTTTTGGACTATGACGCCAAACGATAAGACAGGAATTTGCTAATCGGTACGTTTATTTTAATTAACTTTATACTGAACACAAATGATAAAAGGTGGTCGTGTTAAGGATGAAATGTAATAATAATAATTGTGGAAAGTATAGGTACATCTGATTGTTGTGATGTCATTAATACGAAAATCGAAAACGAAGCAAAATCGACGTAGATGAGTATGGCCTTAAAGACGAAGACGAGGACCAAGCAGTACCAGAAAGAATCCATATTCTACAATCACTCAATCACAATTTTTGGCAACAGGTGAGTGACACACTGTTAATGGAATCAATCAATCACAAATTGATGACTCGACGAAATATGAAGGAAATTGTTGAGGAGGGGTCACATCAATAATAACCCACTATGCCAGTACGTAGTAGATGGGAATGATTTCGACGAAAGTGATAATATGGGAGTGACTGAGTATGGGACATTCAAGAAGAAAGAGTTTCCAGTGGGTGAACAAATATGTGAAATTTGGAATTGCCGACAAATGTGAATAAAAATCCTTGGGGACCAAGTGGCCATGAAGCAAATGAGCACCTAACGGGCGAAGCTATGGGAAGGACCAGCGCGACTGATCCACACCTTGATCACTCCAACATCCGCGTCATCAAAGAGGAGAGTTGGTAACCACTACCATCATACAAGCAGGGCAGCTGAGTAAACTGGTGAGTCATTTTAATCATCTGCTCAACTAAATTTGACGATGACTAAATAACATATGTCTGCAGGTTGGCAGCGCTGCAAGGAAGCTCAAATGGATGTCCTCAGAAGATAACGATGCAATTACAAGACACCGAAATCAAGCAGGTAGCGGTCAAGGTTGGACGAGGCTCAAGGAAGTGTGGCTCCACCAGATGGGGACAGTCTTGCATCACAGGTACTGACAAATCTATGAAAACTACATCCGGTACTTGCATTGGCGAATACAAACCCTTGGTGCACTTGTAAGTAGTGGTGATTACACACCAGATAGTAGCGAGGCCAAATGTAAAACCAATACGCGACAACTGGCAACAGTAGATGTTCCGCCGCTGGACAGAAGGATAATTTACAGGGTGAGCGAAAGTTAAACTATGAACGTTTGAGAAAAGGTCATGATGTGTTTTGATAATGTGTTGTCAATTTACCTACTTGCTTTAACATTTAGTAGTAATAATTTCTGCGTAAGTTTGGTGCTGGAGGTAATTTTGTAAACTGTTTGATGAGTGTAATGTATTGTGTTTTTGCTGTCGTTTCCGGGACAAATGAACATGTCCTCTACCTGTCTCTGAAGAGTTTCTGTATGGTCCGTTATTTGAACAATTAAATTGCAATATGGGCATTGTTGGTTGGTAAGGGTAAGCACGCACTTTATTATTACGATAATCATTCACACCAGATACTATTAAATTGCAAAAAATGGGTGTGCTTTAAGTGTAGCAATTTAAATGAACCAGAAGAAGAAGGAGATCAGATGAAAATTTAGAAAACAACCCAATATCTAATGGGAATGAACAATAAGTATATAAATGCAACTAATTTTAAACTAAAACTGTTTTGAGTGGTATAATTAATTAATTTAACTTTTAAAAACAAATAAAATATCCAAAGTTCACTTTATAATACCAAAAATTAGAAGTACGAATTAAATAAGGGTAACGTTAATTTATGTCTAGTTTTCCATTAGTGTACCAAACTGGAAATTGCATACACAGATAATTTCGATGATTTTGGCATACCATTAAGACCACTGAAAAACTAACGGATACATTAAAATGATTAGTGCAAACTTCACAAACCTTTTCACAGCAGCCCATTTTTCAAAAACCAAAATTTTATTTTATATTTTTTAAAAATTTCTAAATTAAATTAAATTTTGAATCACTGCAAGCAGTAGGTTCCCAGTTCTTCTTTCTTTATGCAACTGGAGCCTGTCTTTGTCCGTTTAGTGTAATTGTTTCGGTCGAAATTTTTCCCCGTGTAGGGACGGGGAAAGAATAACCCTACCGCAGGGGCACTGCGTGTCGTAAGAGGCGACTAAACAACGGCAAGTCTGCCACAACCTTGAGGGAGTGAACGTGGGATGTGGTTGTGGTTTGACACGCAATATCTGCAACCCTTTGCTCGCTAAATTTACTAGTTTTCTGTAAAATTACTCGTGCAGTTCGTTTTGGAAATTTCTTCTGTCAGCAATGTTCGGCATCCTCCTCCAATTTGGACCCTTGCCAGGATGGCATTTTCAATTCCAACAAAGGAGTTTTCACGTGGCGGTTCATATTCATCTTTTGATTGATGTTTGTTTTTGTGTTTCGATTGCATCGCCCAAGGCTTTGCCGCTGACCTCGTGCTCATTCTCTTTCGTTATTCTGGCCCGAGATTTGACCCTGCGCTTCAGGTTAGCATCTTCAACGTCTTTAACACCTACGATATTTCACCGCCTGACTATTCTTGGTGAGGTGACATTTTCCGTATCTTTTGAGAGAGATAGATATTTCACCAGGGTTAACGCAAAGGCAATTTTGCCATGTCGGTCGTAACTTGCAATCAGTTTCCCATGTTTATGTACATCATTGAGAATTCCACAATTTAAAGATTTATTTCTTCTTTTTCTCATTGTTAGGCATCTTCGGGTCGGATTTATTTTGATAAATACTACTAATGACCAATTATACAATTGTTTTCCGTCGATTAGATTTCTTAAAGGGTTGATTGGGGTTTCTGCTTTTATTACAATAGGAAGTTTTCTGTTTGCCCAGTGGAAATGGTTCGTTCGCGTTCGGTTCAGACTCCTCATTAATTTTTCGATGTTTTTATAGGTGGATCAGGGACTCGTTTGGTATCTTTCTGAGTTTTCTGGGTAAATATTTTTCGACAATTAGATATTTCGCATGGTACTCTCTACGTAGAATAGGTTTTAGCACAAATTCTCTTGTCTTCGGTTATCGGAACGGGATTCTTGCCCGTATTCACAGATGCAGTACGCGTGATATTCGCTCATTTGGGTATTTCGTCGACTGCTTTTGGAGGCACTGTACATGATCAGGCTGTTTCTTTTAGAATTTTTGGCGCTCTTTTTCTGTACAGACATGTACGCACTATTTCCATTTACACTATCTACTTGTGACATTTTCGAATTTGTCTAAGAGGTATACGTGTTGCTGATCATCTCAACTGAAAGTTGCTCGAACCGTTCCTTGGTTTTATAATTTGGAGCAATTATTTCAGAAGCACTCGCTTGTTCACACTTGAATGCAGGGGAGTTGAGAAAGTGAATCATTTGACTAAGTGATTCACTTTCGTCGGCATTGAGTTTTTCAATAGTTGTTTAATGACTTTGTAATCACTTGTCGTTAGCACTCAAATTTTTTGACAGACTATCAAGATCGGGCACTGTTTCTGTATTTTGTCTAAATCATCGTTGAGCGTGGAAAGATCATAGTGCGTGTCCGTTAATTGTCCATTCTCCCATTTGATTCCGTTTCGTCGTCAATGTGTCCAATCTCTCGCTTTTTTTGTTTTTACTTCCATTGAATCATTAATTAAACTCAATTCACAGTCTTGTTCATCTTGCTTTGGAAATGACTAATGTTGATTGTTGGGTAATTTGTAGGCAGCTCGTTTTCCGCAACGACGATGGCTTTTTATGCAAATGATTATTCTTATTACTTATGTTGGAATTCACATGAACAAAATTAATGAACCTGAACAAGTAATAAGACTTAAACTACATCTCTTTAAAGAATAGGACGGTATCTAACAATATAACAATATTTCGAATGAACAATAATCCGTACGAATCATTGTTCGTTCGATCCCTCTCCCACGCCTTTTCTAATGAGGGATGGGTCGAACGAACAATGATTCGAATAAATCACCTATCCTATAGTCTGTCCACAAATCACCCAAAAATCAAGACCAGGCATTTTCAAGGCAAGAAGCACAAAACTGAGTCGAGTTTCTTGGAAGTAGAAACGAACGTGGCAATAGACTCATCTGGAGACGTTGATGACTAAACGCAATCCAATGGGAGAGTTGACAATTAACGGACACGCACCGTGGTCCTATACATTCCATACTCAATGAAGATTTAGACAAAACACAGAAGCCGTGCCCGATCTTGATGAGCCGTCAAAAAATTCGAGCGCTAGCGACAAGTGGTTACAAAATTATTGAACCACTATCGAAGAACTCGACGCCGATGAAAGTGAATCCCTTAGTCAAATTATTCACGTTCTCAACTCTCTCGCATTCAAGTGTGAGCAAGCGAGTGCGTCTGAAACAATTGCCCCAAATTATGGATCCACGTAACGGTTCGAGCGATCTTCAATTGAGAACGTCAGCACGTATACCTCTCAGACCAATTCTGGAATAGTATAAGTAAATAGTGTAGATGGATATAGTGCGCTCATGTTTGTACAGAAAACAGCGCCAACGATTCTGAGAAACAGTCTGACTATGTACAGAGTCTCTAACAGTCGACGAAATACTCAGATGGGGCAAATACCACGCCTACTGCATTTGTGAATACAGGCCAGAATCGTGTTTTGTTAACCGGAGACAAGAACATTTGTGCTTCAACCTATTTTACTAAGAGAGCACCATGCCAAATATCTCATCGTCGAAAAATACTTACACAAAAAACTGAGGAAGATGCCAAGCGCGTCGCTGATCCACCTGCAAAAACGTGGAAAAGTTAATGAGGAACCTGAGCCGAACGCTAACGCACAATTTCCACTGGACAAACAGAAGAGTTTCTATTGTAATAAAAGCACAAACACCAACCAACCCTCTAAGAAATCTAAGCGACGAAAAACCATTGTAGCATTGGTAATTAGCGGTATTTGTCAAAATAAATCCGACCCGAAGATTTCTAACAATAAGAAAAAAAGAAATAAATCTTCAAGTTGTGGAATTCTCAACGATGCAGATACACATGAAAAACTGATTCCAATTTATGACCGACATGGTCAAATTGTCTTTGCGTTAACTCGAGAAATATTTATCGCTGTCAACAGATACGGAAAAAATCGCCCCACTAAGAACAACCAAGCGGTGAAATACCGTAGGTGTTGAAGACGTGGAAGATGCCGATCTGTAGCACATGGTCAAGTCTCCTGCCAGAATAACGCAAGGGAATGGGCAGGGGAATAGCGATAAGGCCTTGGGCGATGCCATCGATCCACAAAAACATCAATCGAAAGGTGAATTCGGACCGTCACGTGAAACTCTACGCGCAGCATGGGTCCAAATTGGAGAAGGGTAGGTACCGAACATAGCCGTTGACAGAAGAAATTTGCGAAACGAAATGCACAGTGTTCAAATTCGGTGAGCGAAGGGTTGCAGCTTTTGCAGTTGTTGGAGACGATGAAGATCATTATAATGTACGCTCTTACCCCAACCAACAATTACAACTCAAATAACTCTATTAAAATTACCACTGGAGTAATGGTTCCCCCAAATGCTTTTTTGGGCTATTGTGCAATCGGCGAGTTTTCAGGAACTATACACTAACAAAAACCGATGCTAGTATTAGGGCTTCCACTCCACTACGTCCAGCTAGCTTCAAAGGCTAAAACTACACAGAAACTCTTCAAATAATAGTAGGGTAGGGCGCACAATATAACTCATCGTAAAAATTGTTCAGAATACTATAACATAACTACTCATCAAGCATGCCACTAGGCTATAACAGCTCAAATCGATCCTTGTATTAAATTAGATGATAATTTACTTATAAGTATATATGTATTTCCAACGTATTCTTGTAAAATGAAACAGTGTAACGTCGATATACTATATTTAATTGTCATTTAAATTTAGCTATGTAATAATTAGGTAACGTCTGAGGCAACACATCCGAGTATCTAATCCATGCAAGGAAGCACAATCAATAAATTTTGCCAATAATGAAACGCTTTTATTTCGTTTGGAATTAGTACAGTAAAATTAGACCAGTTTTCCCTCCAAACCCAGACATTTATATTACTAAGAGTGACCTTTTGGAATATGTCCGGACATCGTCCAGGATGACGCTCAAAAAGCTCACAGCTTCCCTATTTGGATACCCGGGATGTCCTGACAAAAGTGGAATTTCAACAAAATGCCTACAACGGACCTAAACTCATTCCCCCTCGAACGGGTTCTTGCCTTGTCGTGGCGGAGTTTAGGGCGCGAGGGGGGGGGGGCTCAGTAGCCGTGGAAAATCACTGGAGGGCGCTCCATTCGGACTGTCGGGAAGGCGCCACCTTGTTCGGGAATAACAAACAGTAATCTCGATGGGAACAAGATTAAAAAAAAAACAAGTACAGTCGCTGGAGGCGGAACAAGAACTTTTATATTATGGCACAGTAATACATTGATATGGAATTTGCCGTTCTCCATTTATTGCTAAAATTATCCCACCCAATAATGGAACAAAGTGTTTTCCTCAAAGTGAAAAATCGCTTTTGCCTGCACTTTGTAGCCCGTCCGTCCGTCACACGTACTCCTTCTACACTACTGAAACGAGATGGGGCTTATTTGAAAAGACTTGGTCCAAGGATTCCGTACATACCGATATTTTTTAGTTTTGCGTATGCGCAGTGTCAAAAATTTAGTTTAAGGCATGTGCAATGCTAACTGTTTTATTTATGAAGATATTTAAATGAAACTTTATATGTAAACACTACGAATATAAGTAAAATTAACGATGTTTTCAAAATAATGTTTTGCGCAAGCGCAATGCGAACTTCTTTATTTACAAAACCATTTAAATGAAATCTTATACATAGGCATTTGGAATAAAAGCAAATCTCAAATCAGTTTCAAAATTTGTTTATATTATAATACGATTCACTATTTTTCAATAAACTGTATAGACTTCGACGATAGGCGGCTCATTTGAAAAAGAACGATGTGCCTACCGGTTTTTTTCCCCGGTCCTAGCATTAATAATATTTAGAGGAAAATATGCTCGCGTCATTTATGTTTGCATAATGACTTTTTAACTTGTTAATTCGGTTTCCAGATATTAAAAAAAATGTCTTAGAAGTTCGAGGCACAACAATCTGTTATCAGTGCTGCACCAGCATATATGACATCTTCACCAAATTTATTGCAGTAATAATCTAACATGCCCGAATCATAAGTATCCAAAATTATCGTACCTTTGTTAATCAAAATTTTTTTTAATACAGTTCCTTTTGGATGAACATATTTGAAAATATTTAGTGTTTTGGTGAAATCAAATCATCCTCTAAGCCCTAAGGCGTTTTTTTACAAACTTTGAGGTTTTGTTTTATGGGTTAGAGAACAATAGCTAATACACCTAATCGATAGAGAACAAAAAAGGGTAACTACACATTTTTAATAAAGGGTGTAGTTTTCCTGTAAAGGTTTAAAAACTACGAAAATGCACCTTTAGGAGTGGCTCACTCTCCCTTGCCAAAGGGGGGCGGATAACTCTCCTTCTAAAAATGTTTGTTTTGGTCCAATATACAAATGTACAAAGTGGCTCGGTTTAATCATCAAACGCCCTATAATCGCATTTTTCGACTCTTAGGCCGGATGTCCACCGAATCGGGGCGACGAAGATCGGTCCAACTGTAGTCGTATCCAGATTGATCGGGCCGACTAAAATTGGCAATTCATGTCCATAGGAAGATCGCCTTTCGAACGATTTTTATCGGGTTGACAGTTGACATTAAATAAAATGTCAAGTGAAGCAGTTGTCATGCTTTTGTACCACAGGCGAAAGATAATTCGCCGCCACAGTTATTGGGTTCTTCCGTACATAACTAATAAAAGAATAAGAGGTGCTTTCATTTGTGCCCATGAACTTGCAAATCATGAACACAAATTTAAATGTATGTATCGTATGTCCAAGAGTAGTTTTTTCCTTTGGCTGACATTGCTCGACCATTAATTGCCAAAAGGGACACCAATTACAGAAGATGTGTGACGGTAGAAAAAAGATTACCAGCACTTTTGATTATTATGACACACGACTGCCGACAAATTATCGTTCAAGAACGTCGGGTCGGGCGAAAATAGTCGGTTGCGATTTCGATCGGTCCCGACGAAAATCGAGCCTGTGGACACTGGACAGGCTTCAATAGGAGCACACGCGCGCGATCTTTATCGGGCGATTCAAATCGCACCGATCTTGGTCGTTCCGATGCGGTGGACATCCGGCCTTAGGGTTAGGACTACATATTAGTCAACCTAATTTTACTGTCGTAAAGCAAAACGCAGCGCTTCGTACTCCAAATACAACTGAAGGTTAAATTGAGCTTTACAATATTTATTCTTGGTAAAGAAGTTCTAAATCTCCTCCATTTTATCCTGTAGACAAATTAGGTGTTAAGATGCTAAAAATATAGTTCCACTTAAAATACAATTCATTTTCAGGCGAAATGGAGTATGGGGCCAATAGTGAAAATCAAAACTGTAGACCCTTAAACATTGTCAGTAAGTTTCCTGTTTCATTATTATAATTTTACGGCTGCAAACCTGAACTACGATTTAAATTATAAATGTTGAATTTGTTCTTCAATTAGAATAAGCGTAGGATAATGAGTTCTGTTAAATTTCATTCAAATAAAAACGTATGACAAAAGATCGTAACTTGCATGTGTGAAGCGTTCCGATTGGGTTAAATGTCCGCAGTCCGCTATTTTCGAACTAAAATCAAATTTTCCTGAACGGAAACTATATAGGTAAATAAAAATCGAATGGTTATGGGTGTAGACCCAGTGCACATTTTTAAGTTTGTTGAGTAATTTGGGGTTAGAATACCGAGAGAAATTCTATCACAGCTTTAAGTTATTGGCTATCTAGTACCTGCTTGTCAGGTTGAACGTTGCCTCATTTCTTGATATATCCAAGTGACAGGCGCTAAGGAAGTCCACGGAGTCTAAGCATTTCTTGTTGACAAGTGACAGCTGGAAGGGTTGTTACAATGGTGTATATTGTCTTAGATTGACGGAAAGGGTGAGTGGACGTGAGAGTTGCAATAATACGTCTGTATATATATGAAGAGGAATAAGACCAGATGTCTCGGACTTAGTTAACTTTCGTCAGGACGAAATAAACACCGTCATGCAAACGAACGCAGGAAGAATGTTACGACAGAGAGATGCACGTTCGGTGATAGATGACTCCCACCAGACAACGTTTAAACGCAGTTTTAATTAAATCTTGTAATTGTTTCAAACGCAGCTTTCTCGTCAGCTATATTAGAACACGACAGAAGTAAAAAACCACTAAGTGTTTGAAGGGACGTGACTGAGTGACTGTCGTGATTCTGCAAAATTAATGAGCTCTTTTTAGAAAATCGGTAAACGTAGGTATGTGTTCAGAGCAGTTAATCATTTCGTCTTTCGATTTACAACAATGCACCCATCGTGCTTAATTTTAAAATCAAAATCACGAATTTCTACTACTTTATCCCTCTAATTGGTGGATCCTTTAGGAGAATGAGCTGCAGATATAGTTTCTAAATGACAAGATGACCAAATATAGCAGACCATGTCGAAATGAAATTAAAAAACCCACAGCATCCGATCCCATTTGAAATTGATTATCATAAAATTGGTCAACTGGGTCTTGTCACGTCCATACGTTTTATTCCATGCAAAAAAGGAATATCTGGCAACGACCTTTCTGAAAAATATTGCCTCAACGTCTAGCCACTGGTAAAGTCGTCGCAGTGCTGCAAATAGTTCAATCGAATTTTTCACGTTACCCGTTACACCTAGTTATAACACATATTTTTGCTTACTTAATGCCTGCAGAAATTATTATTCACCAAGGGATAAATACAATTTTTAAGCGCATGCCTAATCCTGGATTGTTACCAGTATCTGGGTTAGTGATTCATCAAGTGATGATTTTCCATATTACTTACTTGACTTGATTTGAAAATCAATTATTTCAAAATATTAATGATGGACTTGATATTAAGCAATTTCAAGACGCTCGATTACTCTACAAGGGACACCCTTCCCCAGTTGCCTAGTAAAAATAAAATCACATCGTCTTCAAATTACGTCATTTTTTAGAAAATTGTCTCCTAAACTTTAAAACCTGCATGGCTCTCCGCTTTGGCTGCAAGACGTTTTAAAAGAACCGATGCAACTGTGGAAAAGTCGTAGAGGTAAATAGGCACCACGGTTTACACTGCTTATCTAGCAAAGGAAGACTCGAGTTTGTCACGCGACGATGGCAAACGACCAGATGGAGTCACTCTAGCTCATTTGGGATGTCACCAGCGTTGCGGCATCATTGTCATTTTGGAAACCTCATAACAGGGTCCGGAGACATCCGTGCTAAAAGTTTCCTACTTCAAAGAATATCCCTTGCCATCCAACGTGTTGGAAGCGCATCTGCTGCTGTATATTTCAAGTATACAACAAGCACATTTCGCCACGTTTCTGAGCGCATTGCTGAGCTTAACTTCAATTACAGAATTTATTCATTAATAACGCTGTTGAAAGGTGTTTAAATATTCAAGAAGGTATCTTTTCCAAAATTCTGTTGCAGTTTTTGAGTTAATTGCCATCGTGAAAGTCGATTGACCTTAATATGTAACAAGTCAAGTTCAGGAATGAAGGGTTCTAGTGAAAGAACATGTGAAGGCGTTAACGGGGTAAGAGTGTTGGGATTGGAAGATTTGGAGTACAAAGCACAGCTTTGATTTCACACAAAAAGTGGACATCTCTTCGTAAGAAAATATTTGTTCCTCCACCACCCGTAATATATTTGTGAAAACGCGAATGCAGTAGGCAAGTATTTTTTAAAGAAGAAGAATTTCTAATTGATCAAGTGTATGTACTTATCGTACCACTCGTGTCTAGGCAAAGAAAGAAAGAGTGGTCCGTACCATCATATATCGCATGAGTTAAAAGATCGCTAGGTGTAAGACATCT